ACATAAATCCTTACATAAGAAAAAAAATCCACAATAATCCTAACCCTTTTTTTTTGAGGAATAGATCCCAACCTTTTAAATTTATTTTCAAAATTAGGAATTTTCAAAAATAGGAATGCTACGTGTATAATACGGGCTAGTTATGGGATGGGCCCTAAATTATGAGAGTACGAACTACTTGGCTTAAAAAAGACCAAGAACAGTGATGTGACAAACTGATATTGTGATCAGTGGAGTCCAAAATTTCTAGTATCTTTGGTCAATTTCTTTGTTACAATGTGTATTTATCAATATTTCTAAATGACTTTTGACAAGGAAATAAGCTATAGAAAGTGACTAATGTTGAAAAGAAAACAAAGAGAAGAAATTATGGTGGCCCTAAAACTAGGCAAAATAGGACAACGATTCCACGTGAATATTTTTGATAGGAAACGAGTCCACGTGATTTAATCCACTTTCTTATGACACCCAAATGGTGTATTTGTATTAGTCGTGAAGTTTCTGAAAAATCAAAATCATAGAGTATAACTTAAAGGGGGATGAAATTTGCTGTAAAATTGCAAATCGTCGAATCCACAAAGAACAAAGGAGACAAAAGAACTAATGCACCACTGGCAACGTACACTAGTCTATGACATCCCTTAGATCGTCACACATAGTCCAACTACTGATGTAAATTGATTCTAATTATGTAGCTTGTGCAATGCGTGACTATATAATTTTAACGTAGTTTCCCTATGTTTTTTGTTCTATTATAAACTATGTTTTTTGTTCTATTATAAACTTTGTTTTTTTTCATTAAGTTGCATAGGTTTTATTTATTTTATGAAAATTACAAAATAAGTCTTTGGTTTCTTTTAGTGAAAACATACATGTTCTAATAACTAACACAAATCTACAAAATAAATTCAAACAAAATGAGTTAAATAAGTTCAATAAGTTTTGATGCATGGCTTAACATCAATTCAAATTATTAGTCAATTTTAGTTGAATTGGAGGACGTACACCCATAATCAATTTGTGACATTCATGGTACACAAACTACTTGAACATACTGTTGATTAATTTAGACGATACATTATCCTAACCTAATTAATTCTAATATTACGAGGTAATTTTGAACCTAATCCTCCAATGGACTAATAATGACTTATGCTTTTATCAACATTCTTTTGAGAAAAATGTTTCATTACTTACCGATTTTATAAACTGAATAAGAGAATAGTCCACACATAGTACCAAATGTCCCACATAAAGAAGAAGAAAAAAATGACTATTGACAGATGCATTAGTTTGGCGGTGTACCATACTTCATCTAATATCAATTGAATTTAGGACGAAACTCAATTAGATTTCTAAGTAGTCAGAATCCCTTTTGACTCAAGGTTTATTTTGTACAATGAAGATTCATTGTATTCTACATGTCATTATTATGCTCTCTAATTGTCCTACTAGAGATTCTCATAATGACAAGAAAGATCGAATTGGTTCTCATGATGGCTTCCTCAATAATATTATTGATGATGTTGTAAGAATCAAGGTGAACTTATAGGATTAGTCAAGGCCTGATGTTCCTTCAACTGTATTGGAGACTTTCAATTTGGATTTGTTTGTTGATTGGAATTATATAATAGTAGCATTTAGTTTGTATAGCTACTTATCATTGTTTGTTATTACTTCTATCAATTCTTTTAGTTAGCTTATCTAAATTATTTCAATTGAATAGACAGAAACTTCAACTATATTAGAATTCATCGATATACTAGTATACAAGAAAAAATATATTTATGGGAAGTCTTGTGATATTCATATCGATGTGATGTTTCAGTATTAACTATTTTTAATTTTGAAAGATATATATATATATATATATATATATATATATATATATATATATATATATATATATATATATATATATATATATATATATATATTGCAAATGCATGGGACAAATAAATTAAAAAAAAAAAAACAAATTGGATGAAATATATAATTAAATTCTTTTTCAGACTCATGTTAAACAATCTTTTTGCTCTTTGCCAAAAGTAGTTGATTGTTATAGTGTCTAATAGTTGTTTTGCAATTTTTCATACTCTAATCGATTTTGTAGACTAGTAACAAGTTTAAACTTATTAAGAATTCTATCATGGGTATTATTAGAAGTCGGTTGGTTTTATATATGTTAATATTGTATATTTGTCAAGTTTATCTTGTCAGGAGTTTTAGGCAAGTTAGGTCTTCTTTTGTGTTGTGTATATATATGCCGATAAAATATCAATACAAATGGCTAAGTCGTTTTCTCCGATCTTTCTTGAGTTTAACATGGTATCACAATATCTGCATTGTCTTGTGAGATTAGGGCTTCAATTGTTTTTTTTGTTTTTTTTTTCCTTTTCCACAAAATTCAGTTTAGTCAAAATTAGGGGTTTTTTTTTTGCCCCAATTTCTGTGTCTCGGTTGGATTAATTGTTGTGGTGCGCTGTGTGTTGGGTGGTGCTGCGGAGTTGCGTGGTGCTGCACATTGAGGTATTTTTGCAGCTAGTTTCCTCATCATACAACCACTTTGAAAGATTCTTAAAAGGAAAAATCATTTGTTTGCAATTGCTAATTACTAGAAAGGAGAAATTTGTTGGGTTCTATGGGTAAATGATGATTACAAGAAGGTGAGTTCTAATGTGCATCATTATAGATGTCAATTTGGATACCTGGGTCGGGTTCGGTGAAGTCAGGTCTGGTCGGGTCTATTACAAAGTTAAATCAATGCTATGAATTATGTGTGTCCATATGAGTCAAACTCTAAATCGGATTTTTTCCGATTAGATTGGATCAAATCGGTTGGATCAGTTTTTGACACCTCTATGCATCATAGATTTTGTATTATTACATAAAAAAACCCAAGAGTCCACAGTTGAACTAAGAAGTCTAATTGGACTTATAAAGATCTTAATGTTTTGTGACTTTCATGATCCAACATGAGAATCAATTGTGCATATAACTTTACTTTTTAGGTGGATTTAACTCGTTTACAATTTGCAGTACATAAAACCAATGGACCAAGTCGATCAAGAACAAAGTTGTTTGGCCTCTACTTGTACTTACATATAGCTATATAGGGACATATATACAAAGAACCTTACTCTAATATCGGTTTTAGTTTTGTGTCAAAAAAAAAATGTCGGTTTTAGTTTGTAGTTTTGTAAAATTAGTCACAATTAGTTACAGTTACAAGATACCATCGAGGAAACATGGTTGATGATTTGTTTGAAACAAGATACTTCAATTTTAGCGGTTTCTATTTGATGATTTGTTTGAATTTTTACACATTATTTACTTAATCTATTTTGAGCAGCTTTAGTGATTTGTCAGTGCCTGAAAAAAAAATCGATTTTGGGAATATGTTACATTTGTCTCGACATTTATTTTTCTAAAACTTTTTATAATTTTCACTTTTGAGTTAATAAATAATACAATAATGGTGAAAGAAATGCATTAACAAGTAAGAGTCTACATGAAATAGGTCATTTATAGTAAAACATAGGAAGTATATGTACGATAAAGCTAATCCAGACGGTAAATAAGGCATTGTCCATAGACCTCTTAAAATTGAAAACCTAAGTCAAATTTGATGCCTTACTCTTTATTTGATTATTTCTGCATATTTTCTTTTTCTTATGTGACACCACTAAAAGATCAAAGATCAATCTTGCTCATCTAAAATGCCATAGTACTCCCTCTATCGCACTAGGTTTGTCTCATTTTTCTCTCATTGATTTTATCCTATACCCTTGTTGAAGAAAAGAGAAAGATATAAAGGCTAAAAAAAGAACAAATCGTAAAACCACTGAATACATTCCCTTAAACCAAATCTAGCTAAATATATACTCAATATAGTGAAACAACTCGATCATTTGAAATAATCTTAAAGAGACAGAGTGAAAGTACTCGTTTATAAATTAAACAATGACTAAAATGACATGCCTTGAGCAAGTTGTCTCTTCCCTAGCCTGTGACAGTTTTGACAAGATTGTCCATGCTTAAATAATGTGCTAAATCATAATCCGTCAATACAAATGTTAAATCAAGTAAATTAAATGAATTTTAGTCCTTGTATATTAATTATTATGCTAGAAATCTTATGTGACACTAGATAAATATATTCAATTTAGACATATCCAAAGTGAGTGTGGAGAGAGTGATAAGAAAAATCTTGGCTAAGCCAATTAAATGCGAAAGTGAATGTGAGAAAAGAACGTTTTTTACTAAAAAGGGTCAAGCTCATATATACGGAGATAAATTTGGTTAAATTTTAGTGGTACATCACCTGTCACAATTGTATAGTAGAAATTGTTGCACTATTACCTACCTACCATTTTTACCAATAATGACTAGAAAAAAAAAATTAATGACTAGGTAATACCGACAATTAATATATAATGATAGTGAATCATTTTTAGATATGTATGTTAGCAATAACAAAATTCATTTTTTGTACAATGTCAAAATAGTAATGATATATAAATAATTTTTTTTATTTGAATTGCTTCATAAAAGTTACTTAGTACTTATTTTAAATTGATTTGTGATAAAATTTTTAATATATTTCATTTAAGAGATTGCGAATAATTATCATGATCGATAATTGATAGATGTGAGGGTGGGGCTAATAAATAGTGAACTAACATGAGAGACAATTTTTTTTTAATAAAATAAATACATTATATATGTAACTATCTCAGGATCAATAAGCCTTATTCTCCAAACAAAATGATTGAGAATAAAGTAAAAAAGTCTCGACATATTAAAAATAATAAGAAATACATGAACCGTGTTGTTTTATGTTATCTTTGTTTGAGTTAATAAGCATTTTTGAATAGTGTCGAGTCACTGTTATTGACCTAGTATTTTTTTTCTATACCAACAACTTGCACTCAAATTAAATAAAAGAGATTTCCAGCTAATCTATAACATTAAACAACTAATAACGAAAGGTGCAAAAATAATGGAGAATGTGGTCCTCGGACATTGTTGTCCTTGTTTCACCATATAATCTCATTTTTATTCCTTTTTCTTAAGTTAGATAGCTAAGTATGTTGCCTTTATATATAATGAAAAGCCTTAAATCAAAGCTACCTTGATCTTTTTCCTACTCAACATTATATTTATAGCTACCGTTATCACTACAACTCTCTTCACTCTTGCTTGTTTTGCATTTTTGTAAGGAAAAAATATGGAAGGATATAGTAACGATGATGATCTAAGGGGGATCAATATTGTCTATTGCCAAGCAGACAATTGCACGGCAGACTTGACCGAGGCGAAGCGTTATCATCGCCGTCACAAGGTATGTGAGTTCCACGCCAAGGCTCCGGTGGTCATCGTGAAAACGAGTCATCAACGATTTTGTCAACAATGCAGCAAGTGCGTAACAACATTCCTCCTCCTTCACACCCAGAAATACTTCTACACTATATCTGTGCGTGTGAGCAAATTCTTAGGTACACCTACGGATATGTGCTCCTAGGCGACTAGCAACAACCATCAAGGAGTCGATCCTTTTGATCTTTAACTCCTTGATTAATTGTTGCGACATCATCTAGCTAGGTACTAGGTTTTTTTTAGTATGTATACCACGTACATCACAAACACAGCTGAATTATACTAAGTATAAGTCTTTCTAGCTAGTATCATTTCCTTAAAAGCATAATATAATGCCATTTCTTTTCTTTTTTTTTTTTTTGACACTTCATACAACATTTCATCAAAATCTGATCATCGGCCTCCTCTCAACATCAATTCCAATAAATTTATAATTATTGACATTGACTCTTCAAAGGTGATTCACTCTCAGAGCGAGGCTTAGTCATTCATCTCTGTAACAAGGATGTCTTTTCATTTTGTCGAGAATGGTTGTGCTCTATACCCTGTATTAGATTAATTTTAACTTTCAAATTTCAAATTCACAACAACAATTGATACCTTTTTTATCTACTTGGGATTTGGGAGTTTAAATTAATTAGTACTCCCTCCGTCCTTTTATTAGATTCCTATTTCTAGCATTTATTCCTTACATAAATCGAGAGAAATAGGGATCTAATTAAGGGCCAAAGGGAGTATAATTCATGACATAGGAATCCTTTGTACATATATGAAATAACCTACTTCAATGCATTAGTAAGGTTTGGAGATGACAATTACTGCATGTATGATTATCAAGTTCATTCTAAGCAATAGCTTGTTAAATTATTTACATGTACGCTATCATTAATTTCAATTCTTCACTAGCATTCTTAACAATAGAATGCCTATAACTTGACATATTCTAATTAGTGTATTGGTGTTAGCTAGGTTCCATGACCTATCAGAGTTCGACGACACGAAAAGGAGTTGCCGGATGAGACTAGCCGGACACAATGAAAGGAGACGGAAGAACTCCTACGATGTTTCAGGAGAACCCTCTGCAGTCTAAGGCTAAAGAGGGCAAGAGAGATCGATCGAGAAACCGGCCTGACGCGCAGCGGCGGATCATCAAGGGGGTGATTGTGATTATTATAGATTAAACCATAGATTAGGCCTACAATCAATGGCATAATCATTGGTTTTTTCTCTAATAGTGATTAATCATTCTTTTGAATGCTCTCTATCTTCTGTCAAACCCCATTCCTCTGTGTGATCTTTGTCCTACCCTAAATAATTTCCAGTTAAGATTATTCATGTTTTTTTTTTCTTTTTTTTTTTTTATATATTTTATTAATATTGTGTGAAATTCTTATGTTTTTGTACGTGATTAATTTCCATGCATTATCAATATGCTTCATCAATCCTAAGGTCGTTTCATGTACAAGTGTTTTTTTCCCCTAATTAATCAAGTGTAGTATTGTGGAGAGTTATTCCTTTTTTGTCAATTTTAAGTATTTTAATTAGCTTAGAACACAACAAAAGATAATATAGGAATCTATCGAAATAGTTTGTTTACTATGAATTGAATAACATATGAAGAAAGGGACATGATTAAGAAGATAAGTAATGTATATATATATATATATATATATATATATATATATATATATATATATATATATATATATATATATATATATATATATAAATCATACTAATTTCCAAATTAATAATCATGTCACAATAAAGGCAAGAAAAAGATGCTAAAATTAGAGGTTGTGATTTTAATTTGGATCAAACTATATTACTTGAAATTATTATATTGTCACTTACTAATATGCAATCATCATATTATTGATTTATAATAATATTAGTGGTCAATTTAGAATAAGAATATATAAAACTAATTATTTCATCTTTGTTGTGTGGACACTGGATAGAGGTAAATGGACAAGGTCGTTTCACAAGCTGACAACCTGATCTAGCTTAAGTTGGTAGATGGGGACCAAGTCCAACTTGTAAATTAAAGCAAGTAGGATGGTTGGTCCTCTAGATTGGTTATTCGGTCAGGGTCGATTCACAAGGCGTGATGGGTGGAGAACCCTGCATGACCAACGCATGAAGCAACAATATAGGAATGATCCCAAGTCTTAACAAGGTTTTTTTTTTTTTTTCTTCTGTGAGTGTGTGTGTGTTTTTTTTTTCATCAAGGTAATTACTTACTTATGATCAAATAATTAGGCTATGACAGATTGATCAGACATACGAGTATCAATTTGCACAATTTTGGCTCATGATCCACTCACAATTTGGATTGGTTCGAATTCTTCGAAATCGGGTAGGTTAATTTGGGCAAACCGGCCCCACTAATTACCATATTTATTATGCATGCCATAATTTATAGAGCGTATAATAGATATGAGTTTGGTACTCAATATACACGGAGTACTAAATTTGAATTGTATTAATATTGTTTTGTAGTTCTAAATTACTCATTGACTAGATAATTTTTTTACAAAAAGAAATTAAACACAATTTATGTTGTCAAATAAATAAATAAATAATTTATAAGTAATTACATTTTAACTTTAACCATAAGTTCAAATTAACATCATAAGGAGTATATCAAATTAATATAATATTATATAAATAAAGTATACATTTTTTGAGAGCATTCGGAGCACCACGTAAGAAATATACTTATTTCGACCAATAAGAAGAAAGATTTGTATTTTATTTTTGAATTAAAAAATTATTTCGCCACCTAGATAAAAGTAACGAATTAGATTTGATATATCTAAAATTTTAATGCCACGTAAATTATAATCCACGAATTAAATTATTTTAAAGTAAAAAATAAAGTAAAAATATAGGAAAAACTCAATTTATTAATATACTAAAAAATATTTAAATAATAAACACTTATAATAAAGTTTGATACCTATCATTATAAAATAAATTTTGATAGTATTTATGATAAGAAATACAAATTGTTCTTTAATTATAATTAAATTAAAATTTGTGATACCTACCATTATAAAATGACAAATCATACGACGCAAACAAAATTTCGTATCAATAAAAAACCCCCTATCAAGCGAATTTTGTGTTAGTAATTTTGTGTTAATTTTCGGTCATCGATGTAATTTGGGATACTCAACGATTATATGTTTATGTTTTATTTACTAAATATTTTTTTACATGCTGATCTAACACATCACACGACACAAATAAATTTTCATATCAATACAAAACCCCATCAAGAGAATTTTGTGTTAGTAATTTTGTGTTAGTTTTAGGTCATCAATGTCCGGGTAATTTTTAAAATCTTATGTTTAAATTTATATTTGTAATTATTAGTTACATTGTATTTATTTAGGATACTTAACGATTATTTGTTTATGTAATGACATACGATTAGATGTTGTATACTTAATATATGGATGTCTTTAATTTGGTTATTTTTGGAGATGATGAAAAAATTCCAATTATAGATTTGATTTTATATCACAACCATTTTTCATTTATTGGTAAATATATTGATTTATTTTATATAAATGTAAAGATTTAATTTATATCAATTTCAGTTTGGCTAACATTTCACGGTTCAATTTATCCATTGATGTAGTAGGTTGGTTGTGGACGAGGTTGGTGATTCTATCGAAATAAAAGATATGGTAAAACAATGAATAATGATTTAGGATTTAAATTATTAAAAATTTATCATTTCACATTAAAGATTTTATATAATGGAAAAAATATCTATTTACAATTTAAATATATTTAATAAATTCATTATAAATTATATAAAAAAATATTAAACTTTTGTAATTTTGTCTAAAATTATTAAATACAATAAATCATTATAATTAAAAATCTTACATGAAAAAACTGTACATCGCACGGGCTTCCATCTAGTATCATATACTTCGAAGATTTTTATAGCTATCTCAAGATATATTTATATATAATTAATTTAAGAAAAGAACAAAAGAATCTCAAATATAATTAGATATATTAATGGTATAAGGCATGCGAGGAGACCATTAAAAACAAAGTGTAATCATAAGAGACAGATGAAGCATGTTTTATGATGGTCAATATTCGATATTATTAGTACTAAAAGGATCATCACTTCATTGTATGAACCAAAGTCTCAACCACCTTTTTTATTTGTATATATGACTTTTGTAAACACTAATCAGCATATTTACATATACCATAATTTACATAATACAAATAAGGAAAAATTGGCCAAAATTAAATGACACCATCTATTAACGAGGTGTATAAAATAGCACAACCTATTCGTTGAATACCCTATAGCACCACCTATTGTTTTGGGTGCGTACAATAATATTAGTGATATCGGAGGTCGGACATTCCATCGAAAAAGTAAAATATGTATATAAAGCAATATTTTACTTTTCCGGTGAAATCTCCAGCCTTCGGTACCAATAATAACATTGTACGCACCCAAGACAATAGGTTATGTTATAGGGTATCTAACGAATAGGTGGTGATGCGAGATTATCGACACTACTTTTGGCGATACTTGACTAATGTTGACTTGATCATGACCGGAAAATATTTGAGCTTGATTTGAATTACTTAGATGATTTTTTTTGTGTGGGGTGCAACTTAGGTTGTATTTATTTTAGTTATTATCTTATAATTAATTCTAGCCTTTTCATTTTGTATGGTTTAGATTTAATGAGGTTTAGGGTTTTATTTAATGTACTAGTGCCTCCTTATAAAAGGAGTTCTTTTATGATGTAAAAAGATAGACTTTGTTGATTATTGAAAATAATGAGAGCTTTTCTCCTTATTGAGTTCTTTGTGATCTCTCCTTTGTGGTAAAACCTCAATCTTTATCAAACTTTGTGATTGATTAGATTGAAACCCTTGTTTCATTAGACTTTGTGACTAGTGAATCAAGTTATTTTTGCTAGATAATCATACTTGGTGTTTGATTATTTTAGCTTGTTCTCTTAGATCTTGATCCAAGATCATATCTTTAATTTCTTTGCCCTCAAAAACTTGCAAAAATTCCTCAAAAATAGATCTTTGTCCCTCTTTTTCATATCAGGTGGTGTTGTTCTATGTACCTTATCGATAGGTGGTGTCATTATGACCAATTTTTTGACAAATAATAACCAAAAGTACAAGTAGTTTTTCTTCTCCAAAAGTACAAGCTTTTATTGCCGTGAGATGCTCACGTTATAGCTTTTGTATTAAAAAAAAAAATTATCAGTCACAATAAAAATGTTTTTTACTTATTATTTTTAGTTGACATTTTTTTTAAGTAGGTTTGTTGGTCATTAATATATGTATATATTGACAGGGAAAAATAATAAAAAGTCTATCCTTGAAAAATGTATATTGAGACGAGATATGAATCTAACAAATTCAATGTGATTTGACTAATTTTTTCGATCTAGATTATCATAAAAAAGAAGTCAAAATAATTGAATAGTGCTCATGTTAAAACATGTCAACGAACTAAAATAAAATGAAAGAAATTGCAAATTGTTTAAATCTGCAACCAAAAAAACTTAAACATGGCATATGTTACGAGTAGTAATCTAGTGGCGATGAATAGGATATTAAGATCCCTTCAAAAAAAAAAAAAAATATTAAGATTGTCTCACGCACTAGTTTTAACTTTTAAGTAGTTTTACATCAAAGCACTGCATGGATTTGGACTTGTATGAAATTAGTACTATAATTAGATTAGGTCCCGTGTCATGCACGATAATTAATTTCACTATTGTTTATAATTCAACGCAAAATTTTGAAAAAACAAAAATAAAATATTTTGTATAATGCATGTGGACAAAATATATAACGTAGTATTTTTTTATGTATATAATGAAATGAAACATGAAATATAATGACGACAGAGTAATTAGACAAATAAGTTTAAAATTTTAATGATAAATTGATATCGTTTTTCTTTTTATTAACTAAATAATTAAGTATTTTAAAATTATATATTAAACACTATGGGATTCTTACATAAATAATTACTAGAGTGTATTTGATACAATTTAGGATAGTGGAAAACATATCTAATTTGTCGTGCTTTTGATATACATAAATAACTAAAAGTTTAAAAAAAATCAAATAAGATTGATATTGTAAAAAAAAAATAAAAAAAAATAATGCTATTAGGAAGTCATTTCCTAATAAGAAATTAAAACATTTTGAAATTTCTAAATAGAGAATATATGAATAACAAAAGAAGGCTTAGGGAATAATAGTAATAGTAATAATCAAGTATGAATCAATTATTTCTAAAATGCATAATTTTTTTTTTGTTTTTTTTTTTGTTACAAAATTACTGCATACATAATATATTAAAGATTTGAAGGAATAAAATACTGCATAAAGATTATAAAATAACATATACTCCACATATATACAAAGTAATAGACGTTAGAATGTGAATCACAAATATATATTTTGTTTAAGTAAGTGAATGATATGG